CGAAGATTTTTACCCTCCGAAAACCGTTAGATCCTCCAAATTTAGAAATTCTAGGTGAACAGATTGCATGGAACCCTCCTGACCAAGCAATAAAATATTTAGGTGTATACTTCGACCGAAAGTTAAATTGGAAATTTCATATTAATACAAAATTAAATTTGGCTTATGGCAGATTATCAAAATTGTTTCCTTTAATCAACAAAAAATCATGTATGTCTATGAAGAATGGAACCCTTTTATACAAAACACTTCTACGTCCACTATTGTTATACGGCTGCCCAGTATGGGGAACTGCTTCATCAAGCTCAATTCGCAAACTGCAAACATTTCAAAATAAAGTTTTAAGGATAATTCTAAAATGTCCCTGGTATTTTCGAACCCGCTAAATACATTTAGAACTGGGAATAAAACCTATAGAAGATTTTATCAAGAAAGTTACATCAAAATTGTTTACAAAACTTCCATTAACCAGCAGCATTGGATTTTATAACACAGGCCAACCTTCTGAAATCCAGAGACTCCGACTAAAACCCAGATTGCCTCATGTTTTATTATAACCATTTTTTTTTTGTTTTCATTGATTTGTGTTTCATTGGTGGACAGTGCCTTTACAGTCCGACCCACTAAAAACCAGTGACAATAAGTGCCTGAGGGGCTAAGCTGACCTCTATCCATGTTAATGTAATTAATAATGTTATTTTTGTCTTTCTTATATTATACCTAACCTGTATAGCAATGAAATGCTGATCGGTTAATAAAATCTTAAAAAAAAGATTCTTTATACAAACAAACATTCCAAAATTAAGATAAACAATCTGATTGCAGATATAAAGATGTTTGTTAATAATGTCGATTGTTATTTATTTAATGTTCTATAAAGTAAACAATAAATTAAATAAATTTATATATTTATAGTTAGTAGGTAGGCCATACATTCAATCTAATACATAATTATACTAGGGGCGTTCGCAGAGGCATCCACAAAATTGAGCGGAGGCATCAAGGGTTCATATTATATTGTTTTTGTCGTACTGCAGTAAAAACAGATGTTTTTAATGCATGCGTTGCGGGTCTAAAGTAGCATTTTAACTCTTTTGTGAGTAAAAATCGTTTTTAACCTCTATGGAGTAAAAATCAGCTGTTGTAAATTTGTTGTAAATTTCGATTTCAAATGATTGCATGTATTGAAAATATGTATAGATTCGTGCTTCGTAATCATTTTAACCTACAGTCTACAGTCTCTTCCCATAGCATTTTAGCATTGCAGATACATTAATCCATTCCCTTACTACTTCTTTCACCACCCCCTACGTCGAGGACCTGTTTTCCTCTCTTCCCATAGCATTTTAGGATTGCAAATACATTAATGTAATTGCCAAAGACAGTTCAACACTCTCCACTCTTAGCCTTACTACTTCCCATTCACCATTTCCTACGTCATAGACCTGTTTCCTTCCCTTCTCATAGCATTTTAGGATTGAAGATACATTAATCTAACTGCCACAGACAGTTCTCACACTATGCTTACATTCACTACTTCCTTCACCACTTCCTACGTCTCGGACCTATTTTCCTTTCTTCCCATAGCATTTTAGGATTGCAGATCCTTTAATCTAATCGTCATAAAAAGTTCCCAAATTCCGGACTGCTCGCCTTTACTACTTCCTTCACCACTTCCTACGAAACGGAACTGTTTCCCTCCCTTCCCTTAGCATCATTGGATTGCAAATACCTTAATGTATTGGTCATAAACAGATCCCACACTCCGGACAGCTCGCCTTGACTACTTCCTTCACCACTTCCTATATCGCGGACCTGTTTTCCTCCCTTCCCATAGCAGCTTAGGATTGTAGATACCTTAATCTAATCGTCATGAACAGATCCCACACTCCGGACAGCTCGCCTTTGACTTCTTCCTTCACCACTTCCTACATCGCGGACCTGTTTCTTTCCTTTTCCTTAGCATTTTAAGATTGCAGATACCTTACTCTAATCGTCATAAACAATTTCCACACTCCAGACAGCTCGCCTTTACTACTTCCTTCACCACCCTTACGCCGCGGACCTGTTTCCCTCCCTTCCCAGAGCATTTTAAAACCTTAATCTAATCGTCATAAACAGTTCCTACACTCCGGTCAGTTCGCCTTGACTACTTCCTTCACCACTTCCTATATCGCGGACCTGTTTCTTTCCTTTTCCTTAGCATTTTAAGATTGCAGATACCTTAATCTAATCGTCATAAACAGTTCCCACACTCCGGACAGCTCCCCTAAACTACTTCCTTCACCACTTCCTACATCGCAGACCTGTTTCCCTCCCTTCCCATAGCATCATAGGATTGCAAATACCTTAATCTAATGGTCACAAAGAGATCCCTCACCCCAAACAGCTCGCCTTTACTACTTCCTTCACCACTTCCTACGTTGCGGACCTGCTTCCTTCCCTTCCAATAGCATTTTAGGATTGCAGATACCTTACTCTAATTGTCATAAACAATTTCCACACTCCAGACAGCTCGCCTTTACTACTTCCTTCACCACCCTTACGTCGTGGACCTGTTTCCCTCCCTTCCCAGAGCATTTTAGGATTGCAGATACCTTAATCTAATTGTCATAAACAGTTCCTACACTCCGGTCAGTTCGCCTTGACTACTTCCTTCACCACTTCCTACGTCGCGGACCTGTTTTCCTCCCTTTCCATAGCATTTTAGGATTGTAGATATCTTAATCTAATCGTCATAAACAGTTCCTACATTCCGGACAGTTCGCCTTGACTACTTCCTTCACCACTTCCTACGTCGCGGACCTGTTTTTTCTCCCTTCCCATAGCATTTTAGGATTGCAGAAACCTTAATCTAATCCTCACAAACAGTTCCCACAGTCCGGACTGCTTGCCTTTACTACTTCCTTCACCACTTTCTACTACACGGACCAGTTTCCCTCCCTTCCCATACCATCATAGGATTTGCAATAACCCTTATCTAATGGTCATAAACAGATCCCATCCCCCGAACAGCTCGCCTTTACTACTTCCTATACCACTTCCTACGTCGTGGACCTGTTTCCTTCCCTTCCAATAGCATTTTATTATTGCAGATACCTTAATCTAATCGTCATAAACAGTTCCCACACTCCGGACAGCTCGCCTTGACTACTTCCTTCACCACTTCCTACGTTGCGGACCTGTTTTCCTCCCTTCCCATAGAAATTTAGGAATGCAGATACCTTAATCTAATCCTCATAAACAGTTTCCACACTCCAGACTGCTCACCTTTACTACTTCCTTCACCACTTATTACGTCACGGACCTCAAGCTAGTGTCGTCATTTGATTATATTTATGATCCATACGGTACCGTTTCTGTTCTAATATCTGTGTAATAATTCTATCAGCTTTTTCTTTATCTACTGCATTCAAAAGTCAACAGCTGATCATATGTCTTTGTTTATGTGTCAAATACTGCTTCCATAAGGATTACATTGAAACTTTGAGACCCAGTTGGGCGGATTCCTGAGAGTATCTTTTAACGCCATATAGATGTTGGTACTCACCGATATGGTCTTCATCACCATGCAAAATTTGAAAACGATCGATTCAGCCGTCTAGGAGGAGTTTGCGTATTACGAAATGCATAAGAGTCGACGTACAAGAGCTTCGCTCGCTCCGCTCAATGAAAAGAAACTCAAATAAACCTTAGATTTCCCACATGCCTCTGTCTTAATCTGATATAGATGCTTGAAATAGATTTAATATCCACACACATTAAAAACTAAAAAAGTAGAAAATAATTAATAAATAAAAAAACTTTTTTAAACAAAAACGCACTAAAAAGTTGAAAATAATTTATAATGTGGAGAGAATAAATACTTGGTGAGATTTAAAACGAAAAACTTGGGGTGCAAGCAATTGATAATAATACTTAAGTTTAATAGGTGAAGGTAATTGTAAATTATCTCTTGCATCCACCCCACGTTTTTCGTTTCAAATCTTACCAAGTTTATACCCTCCACATATTTATAAATTATTTTCAACTTTTTAGTGCGTTTAAAAACGTTTTGTTCTAAAAAGGTTTTTTATTTATTAATTATTTTTAACTATAATATGCTCTCACTGCTTACCCATGATAAAGGTTGTTGACAAACTTATAGGAGAAAGTATGTGTCAGAATGCTGATACCGTTTATTTTACACTGTGATCACATGAAAACTTTGAGGTTTCCAATAGGCTTGAGTGAGCATAACATTCGTATAGTCGTTCATACTTGCTGTTTCAACAATATTACAACTATTAATGCTGTATTACTTACTTTCATAAAGTTGAATCAGTTGTGAAAAGTTCACACGTTTTAACATTCTATTCTATTATCAGTAATAAAGTTTAAAAATACTCATCTGTGAGAGAATTTTCTTCAACATAAGCGACTGTTTTACTTGAAGAGGTTCCTTTCTCCTATCCACACCAATTCACTACACCACAGTCATTAAATAATCTGTGACAAATCTAATATCTACAAATTTAATGTAGAATTCTCTTCTTAGTCACATTTGGGACAGAGAAGAGAGATCATACTCATTTTTATAAAGAACTGGCATAAGTGAGTCTCTGAAGGAGGGGTGATGGGTTTTTGGTGGCTAGTGTGCAGGATCAGCCATTTATTTTAATCATGATTGTTACATCACACTAAAACAATCAGTAAGAACTATCAAGTGCAGGAACCCAAAGCTTGGTATTTATCTTCCAAGGTTACAAAAGTTGGTCTCGATATACCTGTTATTATGTACAGTCATAACACCCGGAGAATGGCTTGTAGTTTAACTATATAATACTCGATCATCCACAGAGAGGTCTACTACAATTGTGTTTTTTAAGATAGGTACTTTGTATATTTATTACCTATGTCATTGGTTTAATTTGTCCTAAAATCTTATTAAAACCTCTTATAGTCTCTGATAGTATACCTAAAGCTGTCTGTAAATACTATTTACTGTGCAATATTTACAGTTCATCATAGTCTTTGGCCTGTTGGGTTATGAGCCTTTGACTTACGAGGACTACGTTTATCCTCAGTGGGCCAATCTGATAGGCTGGATGATAGCCTTCTCCAGCATCCTAATGATCCCTTTGGTCGCTGTTATACAGATCATCATTACACCTGGCACATTTCTGCAGGTACACATTTTCCATTTCCATAGATGTAATTTACCATTGTCTACTGAGTGTGCATAGGCTTTTAAGTGAGCCACTCACAGACGACTTTCAAATCAAGTCTTTTCATGTAAGGTGTTTGTCAGGAAGTTAAAATGTATAGCTATTTTTATGTTCCAGCGAATAAAAATCCTGACAACTCCATGGCGGGACCACCAGACAGTACTAGCAAGAACAATGTCTATGAATGGAGTTCAGACCGACCCTTCACATGTTAGGCTAACTAGTCCTCAAGCCACTGATGAAGTGTAAACCATTCATGGCGGGACCACCAGACAGTACTAGCAAGAACAATGTCTATGAATGGAGTTCAGACCGACCCTTCACATGTTAGGCTAACTAGTCCTCAAGCCACTGATCAAGTGTAAACCATTTAGAATAGTTGTAGGTAATAAGCAGATGCATTATCAGCTAGATTGTGATTTAAAGTTAAAAACCGTCAAATACGACCAAGGTTACCTTATCAATTTAACGTAGCTACTTTGTAAATTTATTAGGAGTTGGTAGTTTAGTGTAGTAAACGTCATATATTGTAAATAAGTGTGTATGAAGCACTTAACGGGAGAAGAGTGACTTTGATTCTCAAGTTTTCAAGCAAAAATTTATGTTTAGCATAATAAACATAACCATTTAAACCAATCCTATAGACTAAATGAGTGATAACACTATAAAGTATGAAACAAAGGCTCTACAAACACCCAAATTTAGATATACAAAAAATATTATTAACAAAGATTTTCCCACAGCGAAAAAAAAACCTTTAAGTGTAAAAGTATCCCAAAAAAGAAACTTAAAAGTGCATTAATTAATTTTTGGATTCTTACAGCATATCTAATGTTCATTGAATCAGAATCGCTCTCTCTATGAATCTTACCCTTTTAAGATAATTTTTTATTGTGACGAAGAAAACTGTTTATATATATATATGATCTATATGAACCTGTTAACTTGAGGATCTATATATTTGCATAGGAATATTGAGGAATGTGCATATAGTTAATTTATCAATTCATTTATTTAGTTATATTTACAAACGAAAAAATAAGAAAAATTGTAAATGATTTCTAATCAAAATAGGCTTGTTTATTTTTTAAATTAATATTTGTTTATGTTTAGTGTACGCACAAACTTGCATTATTAACATTACTCTTTTTCTTAGAATAGAACATAGAAGTAGATATTTAATATTTTAGGGTTATTATGACTCACGGTCTATTATGATGTCATTGAAACATCTCCCATGTAGTTTTGTTCAATTTATCGATACATTTGGTATGTCTAGATTTCTTACGAATAACATTACCACTGAATAAACAAAAAATACAAATCTGTGAGTTGAAACACAAAACAAAAAAGATAGCCGATTTCAATATTATTATCCCTTTACATTATAAAATGACATGGCAAGTTGTCAATGGTTGTTGAAAGTGTCATTGCAGCATAATTTACTTTGGAAACTAAATATTCACCAATTAACACATTTCAAGTAGTTTATAATGACCAACAATTAAGCGCAAAACAATTTGATTATGGTGCTTTTAGTTTTGCAGCTAATTTGTACCACAACTTTCAGACGATGAAATTGTATTAACATTCAAACGTAGTGTGAAAACATGTTTTGTTCTTAATATAATTAATATTTTGTGATCCCGAATCCCTAATTGTTAATCTAGTAGAACCTAATGTAAATTATAATCGCAAGAATATTTGTAGTAGAATAGTAGAATCAAGCACTAATAAGATATTCTATGAACGGTGTTATTAAATATTATGTTCTAGATGACAATAGTTATTTGTGCAACTAGTGAGCAAAGGGAGCAATTGACTCACTCGAGAGAGGAATGGTTTCTCGAGTGAGGCAATTGCACTTTGCACTCGAGTTGCACATTATATTTTTCCTACAGTTACCATAAAACAAATAAATTGGCAAAGAAACGTGACATATTTTTACACAGAAATGAACTAACTTTTAATATAACATTTAATGATACAACAGTACAACAGCTGACCAGCTGATTTACAGCCAGTGCTGCCAAAGTATTTCGCGCGCATACGACCTTGTCTGCATGCTACGCGCTCACTATTTCGCGCCTTCAGGTTGCAAATCTGGAGTGAGTGAGACAAAGTAATTAGAGTGAGATAATGTTATCATTGTCTCACTGATGAGCGAATTGGCCACTTTGCTTTCTCAAATCAGTGAGAGAAGTTGTACGTTGTTAGGTACCTGTAGGAAAAATATTTGATTCGATTCTGTAAAAAAGGTATTTTTACCAGAATATTTATACAAATACTGACACTAATTAAGGTACCGGTTCTTTAACCTTTCTTAAATTTCCCTAAAAGACACTTTTTTATTGAGAAAGGTGACAAATGTTGAGAAATTCAATAAGTGTGAATTAAATAGCATTGTACATATCGATAATGATAATGTATTTTATGCATCACATTCAGTGCTGTATTAATCCTCTCTTCATTATACGTTGGGTGTCATATATTGTGATTTGTAAATAGTATGGGAATGTCGCTTATAGTGTTTAATGTCACAGTCCAAAAGTAAAAGCAAGTGTCTGAGCTGTTACAAAGATTCAGTCTCTCATTGCACAGTTAATGTTTAAGTACTGTACCACCATGTCCAGTCAGTAGAAAACAATTAAGACATTTTGAGTACAGAATACAGTGTCTAAAAACCCAAAATAATGAGCCAATTCCATTTGTGAACCTATTTGAAATGGCTTTAACCTCTGTTGCACAATGTCCACTGAGGGCTCATTTGATTAGGGTTTTTACACTATTTACCATCAAATTAGCAGCTTTTATGGACTTTGTAAAACTAATCTGAACCTTTCTATTTTCAACAGACCACACTGATTGATTTGCACAAATTAAAGAAAGCTATTTACCATCCTAAACAAGGTTATAATCCTAACAAGGTTGCAATTTAATAGTGTCAAGAGCAAAATAACGTAGCGTGATTCAACTTTTAAAACTGAACACAGGGCAAAATTTCCATGAAAATACTGTGGATTTATATATTAGGACTTGTAAACATTTGGCTACATCTCTTTGAGATTATGATCGTTTTGACACTGTTAAATAATTAGATGCAAGTAGTTATTAATATTAATATCAAGTAGTTATTTGTATAGCCTGATACCTGTTCTGAAATAAGCAGAAGAAAAAATAATTCCAAAAATGTAGGTAGTAATATAGAGAGTGTATGCATGCATCAAGTAATAGGTATGTATAAAATGTTTTGATTATCGTGTTTAGTCAATAATCCTTGTACAGAATCACTAAGGAAAATTGGCTTAGTAATGAAATAATCATCAGGAGTTATTATCATAAACATATAACTTTAGATTAGTATAATTGAATAGTCGTATTACACTTTTAATATTCTTAGACTTAAGAGTACAACTTTAACCATAGGAGATAAGTTTACAAATCCAAACCGGTAGTTAATTTGTCAGAAGCTCAAAGTTAAAACTTAGGACACTACCAATTAAACTGTGTTGATCTTGTTTTGCCAATGGCCTAATAGGCTTAACTTTTTAACACAGTTTAATTTTTTTTCTTGTACTACTCTTGACAAGCTGGTTACTTATAATTTATTTACAATGGAAATACGTAGTTGGATGTAGACTAATAATATGAAGGAATAAATTTATAATGGTGAACTTGTAACTATTAACTTATGTTAGTTGTAGAGTCTAAGATCAATATGTGCAACACTTCAGGTCTCAGACTCAATGCTTTAGGGTAGAAATGCTTTATTATACTGTACTCGTAAATAACTACCTAATCAGTATTGTATTTCTTGTATGTAGAGGTTTAAGCAGCATTTGTACAATAGTGTAATATTTTGAAATATGTTGTGCAATATTAGGAATTACAACATTTAAATTTTACTTTGTCGAATTACCAGCATTTTCATCACATGATTTGTAAATAATATGTCACTTAGACAAAGTAAATATTTATTAGAAAACACCAAAGCAGCCATTTGGGGTATTCTAAAAACTATATTTGTCTTTGTTGTTGTGTATTATATTTATAAAAAAATACAATTAATTTATGAGTGTCAGTGGTTTACATTGTACCTAGCTTCAATCCCTCATCCTTAACAACATACCAATTTGTCCTTTGAATGAAAAGATAATAAATTAAAATGAATTCATTTATGAGCATGATTTTAGAAATGTTTTCCAAACTATAACGAAATAGTGTGAGCTTGAGCACTACATATTACATACATTAATTTTTACATTCATTTTATCGTCAGTGCTATTGACGATAATTATTGTGTACAAATTGAGTCATGAAGGTCGTTACTGTAACATCATTGTCAGAACTCAACACCTCAGTATCTCAAATTTTTGGTATTACATCTTGATAACTCGAACCTTGCTTACTCGAATACTCAAATTTTACCCTTACTCCTTCAGCTCCAAGATATTGAGGTCTTACAGTAACACACATTTAAATTACAGTAGTTGATTGCCTAATTTGGAATAAAGTTCTTAGACATAATTATTTTTCAAGTCTTAAGGAAGGATATTAAAAATTTGCAAAAATGAGAGAATCAACTTAGCCTGTGAAGCATTCTGTCAGACTTGACTTGGCTTAATGTTTGGACATGTTCTGCCTGAACACTCATCCCTCACAAAGATACTGAGACTAACCAACCAGAGCACTTGGTGGACTGTACGCAGGGCTGCCGTGAGGGTAATAGACACCCAGGCCAAGATTTTAATTTGTGCCCCCCCCCCCCCTCCTAAAAAAGGATGTTTGGGGGTTTCGATATATTGGACATTTTGCAAGTATTTTTATCAACCCTATATATATACAGTAGTGATAATGTTTAACCATAAAAATGGGTTTTTATAGAATATATAAGGTCGATGTAAACAATCTTTGTAATGTTATGCTATTAACATTACAGCAGGTATTCCTCTGCCCTAATTAAACAGATAATTCTGTTCTGTGAGTACTGTACTTGGTTATCTGAGAACATTCATTTCAAGATTTGTTTTAACTTCACATTTGCTTTGAGGACTTTTTTTGTTTTCTTTACAAGTTCCTGTCAGATTCTTTTCGAAATAAACAACTTCAAACAGTAGGCCTACATTATGCAATTTTAATCAAACTAAATTTGTTGGCTGAAACTGATAAAAAATATTGCAAAATACTTTAAAGAAAAAATCACCATTATTTTCCAAGATTGAAATTTTACTAACATGATTTACTAAAAACAAATAAATCAATAAAAAATATTTCACTCCGATACAAACAACGAACAAAATCAGGATGAAAAATTGACGCTGATTTTGAGGTTAGAAACAAGCGGGTGTGGGGCGAATCAGTGACATCGATGTATCGATGATCAGTGATGCGCGATTGCAAGATGTTACAATCAAAACGTTTTGATTGTTTAAACCTCTCGAGACGTTTCGATTGTATTTATTTATGCTTAGCGAGAGGTTTTTATAGAGATATTTGTGGCGATTGTTTCATTTCAGCACGGCATGAAAAAAAAATTTCTCTCGTATTCGTCTAAAAGAGAACCGAGAAGTCCTTACCGAGAGTTTTAACTAGATGTTCATGGTGATTGTTTCGTTAAGTACGGCACGGCATTAGTAATTATTAGCGGGAGTATGTTTTATCTTTGTTATTAGCATCCAATTTCTATTGTATCTGGCAGGGATTGACCCAAAATGAGAGATTGTTATTCTTACTTCAAAACCGAGGAAGGGAAGGTTTATGTATATATTACTTACTTCATCTACGGAATAGTGACTTAATAACACCTTCAGTATCTAATAGTCAATGATACCACTCAATAAAAATTGGCGATAAATTTTACAAACAAAATGTTTGTATCTAAATCTAAATGTTATTTATAACGAGACTGGAAGCTGTCATAAATATCATGTTAACATTATTGTAATAATAATGTTAACATGATATTTATGACAGCTTCCAGTGATAAATAGAAAATTATTTAAAAATAATGGTAATCATTATTTTAAATATAAATAATGGTAATCATTATTTTAAATATAAATAATGGTAATCATTATTTTTAAATAATTTTCTATTTCTGCCGACATGACGGAGTGGCGAAAGTGTTTATTCAAAAATATGTTATGTTGTAAATAATAGTCTATTATTCTACAAGAAATCTATAAAAAGAATTAACATCCTAGTAACAGCTCTCATACAATGTATACGGGTCTGCAGACAGAAGTTTTGGCTTAACGAATACAAATTTAGTTGCGTTATTAGTTTCCTTGTTGCAGCAAACCTAGGTACTCATTAAACCTAATGTTATTTAAAAAAAGGTTTAGTTGAAAATAAATTCAGACAAATGGAAATTCGCTTAGTCGGCAGGTTTGCTGCGGCGGGGGTATTTTTTAAATTTAAAATGGGCTCTAGCTCAGGGTAGGGTGTCGAGCTGGCTTGAAAGCTAAGAATTAATAAATTAAATAGTGTCCAAATAATTAATGAGTTAAACTTACAAAATCCCAAAAATGAAAATTAAATGTTGAGGTTGTCCAAAAGGTAAGTTCAATGTGTACTGAATTTAAAAGAGTTTAAAAGAAAAGTTTATACTTAATTTTGAGAATAATGTTGGAGTTAGTCCTCTTGAGGTTGATATAACTTGAATATAAAATGGTTTTTCTTGATGATATTAATTAATTTAATTTATATAAAATCTGGACTCCTTCTTTAAACAGTTTCATCTTTCAACTATGGCTTCCCTTCCCTAGTCTCTTGTAATAATGTTCACATAGGTCTATTGTTGAACACATGGATCACTGTTTCACTGCTTCTTGAATTTTGATTCCTTAAGGACTAATTTAGAAATTATATTATAAGAAATTTTTATGTATTGTAATTCTCTTACATATTTAATAAATAACTAAGTCGTGGGTGGCCCCCTGGGCTACGTCCAAATTCACCAATATTTTTGGGGTCGTTTCTAATGTCCAAATTCACCAACTTTCTACCTGGAGCAGGTACGATATTTCTCCCGGCGGGCGGGGAAGGAATTCCGAATAGTTTGCCCTCGCCTGCTCCGTCTCGTCTCGGCGAGAGTGTACTGCTTAGCCCTAATAGTACTGTTTAAGCTGTGATTGTTTCAGGCAGCTTTAGGTTAGGTTAGGTTTGGTTAGGTTAGGTTAGGTTAGGTTAGGTTAGGTTAGGTTAGGTTACAGTACACTCTCGCCGAGACGAGACGCAGCAGGCGATGGCAAACTATTCGGAGGGAATTCCTTCCCCACCCGCCGGGAGAAATATCGTACCTGCTAAAGGTAGAAAGTTGGTGAATTTGGACATTAGAAACGACCCCAAAAATGTTGGTGAATTTGGACCTGGCCCCTCCCTGTTATCAGAGGTACAAAGGTTGACTTGCTTGTGTCCAGAGCTATGGGATATGATTGTATTGAATATTGCATGGGAATTGAAATTTAATTTTACAAATTTGCAACAAAGGGAATAAGTTAGACTCTCTGGAACAGTTTGAAATATACAGTAGCTACAATAACGAAGAAACAAAGCAAATATTTTAAATGAAAAATTCAATTTAAATTCCCATGCAATATTTAATACAATCATCTCCCATAGCTCTAGACACAAGCAAGTCAACCTTTGTACCTCTGATAACAGAGGAGCCGAGACTTCTTAGTTTTCCTGCCAGATCGGGTTGCAATAAGTGTTGTAGGCCTACATGAAAATGTTTTGTTCGTACGTGTCAAATGTATATACCGTTTTTATGTGTATTTTTTAAATGTAAATTTCTACAACTTGACGAGTTTAATTCGGATATTATAATGTTTCAATGTTTCTGTGTACCACTTGAAAATGCCAACATGGCAAAACATGTAGTGGATTAAAAACACTATTTTTTCAACTGCAAGACGAGGTATGTTTTAATTTAGTTAATAGATTGACATCTATTGATTTTAGGATTGTCAATCAGAGAACAATTAGGAAAAGTTATGGATGATATTTAATTAATGTATTTTTGTAAACATTTTAATACATTTTCATATGTAAGGATGTAAAGGCCGGTACACACTAGGACACCCGGTCGCTTATCAACCAGCGACCAAATTGCACACTTATCGCCGTGTGTGTGTGTGTGTGGGTCTGTCAATTTGATTGACGGCGAGTTGTAGGTTGCCAGGCAACATTTTGGTTTTCGTACATGTCTCGAAAACCTGGGAGTTTCCCATCAACCATTTTATCACCGGGCAATCAGATTTCTAAAAAAACTAGAGTGTGTACGGTTCAGCGACTAAGTTGATCAACTACAGCCGGCTTGCGCATGACATAGACATACTTTATTCGCACAAACATTCCATACATGTCATAACATTTAGAATAGGTGCATTGTCAAAATTAAATCCATACATAAAATATTTAACATTAAAACTTTTAACTTAAAACTAAACACTTAAAATAAAATCAAATTCTAAATTATTGTTGTTCTGTAAAAATCTTCAATTAAGTAAAAAGCCTTGTCAATAAGTAAATTGTCTATTGTATCTTTAAATTTGGTTTTGCTTAATGACTTATAGCATGGGGGAAGCACATTGTACAATCTTAGCCCAGCATACAATGGAGATTTTTCATATAGGGTCAAACGGTGTCTGGGGAGTCTAAATATATTTTCATTTCGGGTTTCATACCTGTGATTAAAATGTATTGTTTCTGGTAGCTCATTTTTAACTGAATGTATGTTATTTAATAATTCTAGAATATACAACCCCGTTAGTGTCTGAATTCTTAAATTTTGAAAATGTTTCTTACAAGAACTGCGTGGATGAGAGTTGGTGATAATGCAAATAATACGTTTTTGTAACCTGAATAAAGTTTTAATACCAGTAGCTTGACCCCATAAAATTATGCCATATCTTAACACTGACTCCACATAAGCACGATAAACTACTTTAAGTGTCTCAATAGAAACACAGTGCCTTAGATGTATGAATAAAGATGATATCGACCTAATTTTGTTATGTAAATAATTCAAATGTGAATCCCATTTAACTGAGTCATCTACGTAAACCCCTAAGAATT